CGCAGCCCTTGCAGGGCAGAAGCTCTTCCTGGCTTTGAGCGGGGGTTGTACAAAGCCCACTATGTGCAGCACGCCCTGCCCTTACACGATGATGCAGGGACCTACTCCAAGGCTGAGACAAATCACTTTCCCACGTTTGGTCTCTAGAGCCTCAGTTAAGTAGCTCAAACTATAAACAGGACACTCTCAAGATCAAAAGCAGTACTAAAGTTCAAGAAGTATTTCACTCTCTCTCCTGCTTTCCCATGAAAAACATTTCCATTGAAATCCATGGAATTAAGAGTATATTTCATAAGGCAAAATGCATTCCAGAGAAGGTCCTTGTGCTAACTCAGGTGCTGAAAAGTGGCATGGCCACATTGCAGCACTCTCTGTGGGCCAGTGTGTTCTGCTTCTTCTCATGATTAATTTGCTAGGACATAGCACAGTGCTATACGGCTTCTACACTAGCTTAATGAGCACTAGCTTGCATCTCTGTAGATGACGTATTTTCCCACAAAGATGCAAATCAGGAATCTCCTAGGGAAAAAAAAAAAGCAACTGAAGATTCTGACCTTTCCTTCTATTCCACAGTGAGTTCAGGCAGCCACATACTCCAGGGACAGCAGGTAGCTTCCTCATTGCCACACCTAGTGAAGATCCCACTGGGAAAGGGCCACTTTGCATTTGAAGAAGTGGAGCCGTTAGACACTAATGAACCAGCGCATCCCTAGGTGCTCCCTGGGGCCTATTTCCACACAGCGCTTCTTCCTTCCGCAACTGCGCTAGCTGCCATGAGCCCGAGAGCAGAGCAGGCACTGGGCACGCAGTCTGCCCTGTAGCCTCTCCCCGGTGGGGTGGTCAGAAGACAGCGTTCAGGGTGGCCCGGTGGAGGAAACCGTAGCCATCCTCAGAACAAGCCATTCCACGTGGGCTACTGTCACACCTCCAGAAGCCAAACCTTGTCTCTTAAGTAGTGTTCCCGCCGCCCAGGCCGGGCCGAGCCGACCCTTGGTCACTGGGAGCCTCTGGAGCGGCACCGAGCGCCCAGCTGCGGCACAAGGGCCGCAGAAGTGCCTGAGGCGGGAGGAAGGGGCCCTGCCTCCCAGGGGGCTGCTCCTGGCACAGGAAGGGGACACGAGTGGAGGCCTCACCCCAAACAGGGACAGAACTCCTGAGATCTCTCCCTGCGGCTCTGCCCAGAGAAGGAGGTGCAATAGGAGCTAGGAGAGGGCACGCTTCTGTGTGGAAACAGTGTCTGCTTGGGAAGGGGCTGCACAAAGAGGGGCTGCCATTTCCCGCTGCAACAGGGGCTGGCTCACAGAGGGATGTGGCAGCAGCTGATGAGGAGGAAGGAGGGGGAAAAGAGTCATTTCCGTGTCAAGTGGTTCAGGCAGTTAGCAGGCAGGAAGGACGGAAGCAGAGAGCCCTGGTTTGCAAGCCGGCCTCTTGAATATGGGACAGGCAGGAACTCAGTGCCCCGGATGAACTAAAACAGAAGAATGTTTGGTTTCAGCACACATCTTTCTGGTGACTCATGTTTTATTCATAGTACAGAAAGGCCAGAAGTTCACACTAGTCCCACTCTTTCTGTGCAGGCTTCAAAACTTGGTCAGAGCAGGGCAATGTTACTGAGCTCCAGAGGCCTTGGGTTGCCAGCTCCCCAGCTCAAAGCAGTTAAAAGCCTTTCAGTCGTTTTTTTTACCTTTCATATTCATAGGACTAATCAAGCAAAACTTTGTTTGGATTATTCTACTATAATTACCAAATGCACTCAGACCAAAGGCTTAACAGCACCTGGTACATATGGACAAAGTTCTCCCAATTATAACACCAGAGAGAGCAAAATGCAGCCTAGTCCTACTTAAAATGAGCTGTTCCCCTCCAGCAAGATCTTTGGAGTATGAACAGACATTGCAGTAATGCTTGAATGGACTCTTGCACACAGGGCACCAGACTCCTTATTTTATTCTGTACTTTGAGATGCTTAAGGTGGACGGCAAAAGTGAAAACCAAGACAAGGGAAGCAATATAAAACCTGAAGGTAATCTGAGCCCGTATCCCACCATACATAAAAAAAAGAAAACAAAAAAAAAAAGAAAAAGCAGCAATGGACAACTCTGTCCTTGTTGCTGCAGAGTAAGGACAAAGTGGATAAATCACAAGTTTTTTTATTGCTGGTGAACTCAAAACAGGCAAATTTAATCTACTGAGGAAGATACATGTACAAATGTTAGGCCTTTGTGCGTTTTTTTTTCCTCCTTCTTAATTCAGTGCAGCTCCTTTGCCCTTGCTGAACTGCCCGTGAGCCCCATGGTGTCTCACTGGACTCTGGACACTCCTCCTGTAAGATGGCAGAAGAAGCATCACATATATTAAAAGGGGGAGATTTCTCAGAACAGGTAAAGCTCTGACTGTAACCACATTGCTCAGAAAGAAGTCTAGATAATCCTGCTGCATTAGGTACACGGCATTACAGAACACCCTGTGAAAGCATGAGTTGCCAGGGGATTATTTGAACTGATTTAACCACTTGCTGGATCCCATTCTGGTTCTGGTGTGCAAGCTGCAAGTAAAGTGCACTTCAGGGTGTAAATTACAACGCTCTGAAGATGCAATATCTGGGTAGCGCCTGTCACACAGCAAAAGAAAACAGGTTGCAACAGTGTTACAATGGCACCAACAATAAAGAAAAATGGAATAAGATACTGGATGCCACCTGGGAAGTCTTCCATGGTTTGAGTACCTGGTATCGCATAACTGTGTGACACAGTGTCACTTGGCAAGAGGCTTCTGGAAGCAAGGGCCAGGGCAGCGCACCGGGTGAGCAGCCATTCCTCCCTGCCCCACACGCGGCGGGTGCGATCACAAATGGCGCTCACAGCTCCAACAGACATCTGGATAAAGGAGAGTTTCCAAAGGCTGCTTCTGCGAAGCTGGGCGTTTCAGAGCACTGTGGGGAAGGCAGCATCACACCAGGGCTAAGCTGGGCCAGGAGAGGACAGCCTATTTCACACACTGTGTTTAGTCACCCTAGGACTCAGCTGGTCTCAGCTCCTACTTGCACCTCCTGCTGCTCCAGTGTTTCCCGCCCTGCCATGTACCGTGACAGGTGACTGTTTTGCCTGGGTCTAAACCCTTGAGACCACCAAGGCTGACAAGCAACATACCGTTTCTATGATTTCATAATACTGGCATCACAGCATGAGAAAAAAAGAGGAAAAAAAAAAAGAAAAAATCTGTTCAGTGGCTCAGTGTTAGTTCTTTTTTTAATTTAATGAAGTAGCAAAAGGGAACTCTAAATACCCACCCAAGTATTCTGAGTGCTTCAGACGACATCGCATACCCCAAGGCAGGTTTGCTTAACTCCTTGACACCAGAGTTTTCACATGTCCATTGCCAGCAACAGATGTCATGTGAGAAGGGTGAAGGAGCAATAAAATAATTGCACTCTGTGTATTACGAAAAGGATTATTATCGCCCTTGTAAGTGAAGAACTTGGCGACGATTCCCCTCACGCAACCAGAAGTGCTTTTCCTCTCTGGAATGATGCTCCAGGGCAAGGAGCAGGTCCATAGCTGAGCACGTCCTATTGGGAGCAGAGGACCAACACAGACAAGAGCATTTCCAACACGAGTGGAATTCTACAATCACACAGATCTGCTTTGCTAGCCAAATTCATCCCTGGCACAGCTCTGGTGGCTTTGGCGAAAGAACCAACCCCTACACTGTACCTGCCCCTACAGGGCAATTTAAGCAAACCTCCTCCTAAAACTGTTAGGAGTGAGGTCTGACAGCTGGAAGCTCCATGTTTGTTGCTAATTCCAACTATCAGGATTTCCCAAAGCAAATCATTAGCTGTGGCTGCCAGTAATGAAGCACTTTTTTAGCATTACAGCTTTCCGTGTGCTCCAAGAACGTTGCTACCTTGAATGAACTCCAAACCGCCCAGCCCAGGTCTCTCTAAAACGGAGCCCGGGCACTTCCTCGGCCTCGCTGCGGGCCGCGCTCCCCGCCTCACCACAGCGGCAGGCAGGGCCGCACGAGAAGGGCTCTTCGGAAACCGCCTTTGCCAACGTGCCTCGCTGTACCGGGTGCTGCGGCCTACCCCGGCTGCCTCTCGTCCGCGTTAGGGCACAGGGCTGCTGTAGTGATGCAAAGTAAGGTGGGGGAAGAGGGAAAAAAAATAAACTCAGCTCTGGATACTCTGAGAGGAACATTGGGCAGAACTGGGCCAAGAGGTGCCACTGCTAAAGAAAGCTGACAGTCAATCCCAGAGGGCTCTGGATGCTGGCTCCTGCCTTAGCCACACAAAGATTTCTGACCTTTGGTCAAGTACAAGGGGTTACAGCCAGACTAAAAAGTCAGCAACGGCACCAGAAACAGAGGAATCCCTGGGAAGGAAAGCAGCAAACCCCTGCAGTGTGTATAGTCTTTACAAACTTTGCACAGTTGGGATGGAAACCAGAATCTGGAGCAGCCCTTTGGGCAAGTCCCGCTTCAAGGGGATACAGGTGATGGGAAGACATAAGCTAGTTCTTGTTCTTCTTGCCAAGATCCAAACTGCAGAGATTATGGTAAAATTCACTTGGCAAAAAAAGGCCTTTATTAAAAAAAAAAAAAAAAAAAAGGGGGGGCGGGGGGGGGGCAGGAGTTCTCTAGTGAACATCAGGTCTGAGAGTTCAAAAAAAGTACAAGACTGGTATAAATTGAGCAAGATGTCCAGCACCAGCCTATACTGTGGTGCAAACAAAGAACCTGGTGGTAGGCCAAGGGGACCTCCATCTACCTCCCCAGCACGCTGCCAGTCCCTGGCTCTTCTTGACAGCACATGGATTTTCCTTGGTCCTGCAGCTTCTCAGGTCCCATGGGAGGTATTGGTTGCAAGCAAGCACCTGAATATTGCCTAATAGAGTAAGCCAATCGTTAACTTAGCTGGCACATCCATGCCCATCCACTAACTTTTTTTTTTTTTTTAAAAAAAGAATTGTATGCATTTCCACTGTAGCATTTTCTTCTTCTTTCTTCACATACATGTAAGCAAAAGAACTGCCTTCATCTGTAATAATTTAAAATCAGAAATGACCTAACTAACAAGTAGCTGACATTGGTCCTTGGAGTCCAAAGGATAAAATCCATAGAAAAATCATTGGTTCCATATTTTTTTCTGGTATATCCCATGCACACCCCCTTTAGAAAAAATGGGGCTTATGTATCTTATCATACAGGAGAGAGAAGTCCCTCAAAGCCAGCACTGCCAGTCTGTAGTAGAGGTGTAGGCTCTCTCAGCTGCTAAGAGTGGTTCTGAGTCACAGCTCAGTCGGTCTTCACGTGGCCGTTGGCCAAGGCAACGGGGACGGTGGGGGCCCCTGGCTCCGCTGTCTCATCAAACCGTAAACGCAGGGTGTTTCTGATCACCAGCTGCTCCATGATGAAGGACGCACAGAACCAGGGGATGGCATACTCCAGGGTGATGAGGCCCATGAAGTCAAAATCAAACTGGGAATAGTCCCATGGGCAGGCATTGAACTGGCGCAGAATGAGGCCAGTAGTGAACTCCCAGAGATATGTCCAAAGAGTGTAAATGAGGCAGCGCACCACAATGTTACACTTGTCCTTGAGGTACAGGTACATCTTCTCCACGATGAGGATGGAGGTGCCATAAATGAAGAGTGCCCACACGCTGGTGACACCGGGGAACTTCCAGTTAAAGTTGACCACAAACTCCCAGGCAGCCGTGAACATCACCTCACAGAAGTAACCGTGGATGGCGTAGAGGTACCACCGGGAGAACGCGGTCAGGGGCTCTGCTGCCGCCATTCTTCTGCGCACACTCTGAAAGGACAGCAGGGAGAGAAGTCAGGAAGGATGCCACGAGCTCCCGTCCCCCACACGGCAACTCATAACGCCCGCAAAGGACCTGAGAAAGAGCGAGTTATCATCTCAGTTTTACTGCAGTGGATTTAAGTCCTGGGGAAGGTGGCTCCTTACTAGGCTCTGAGACTCAGAAGGAGCCTGAATGGGCCTGGCTAGAGCCACTGGACGCAGCTATAGCGGGTGGTAAAAGGTACAATGGTGGCTCCTTACTAGGCTCTAAGACTCAGAAAGAGCCTGAATGGGTTAAACTGCCTGGCCAGAGCCACTTCAAGCAGCTATAGCGGGTGGTAAAAGGTACAAGGGACCAGTAGTGGGCAACCACAGAACTTACCAGATGCAATTGCCAGTAGAAGAATGCAGGCATCTCAAAAGGAGCACATGTCCTCTCTCTGCTCCTTTCAAGGACAGCACTTTGCCCTTTCCAGTATGGATTTGGAACACTGAAAACTTTAGCCCTTTCAGCTGCCCCCTAAATCCTTGTACTCAAAAAGTTCAGGGTACTGAAAAACTATGCTGTGATGAAGGCAACAGAAAGGAAACTAGAAGAGAAAGTTTCTGAAGTTTTGTCCTTTCAGATACCACACCTTTTGCTCAGTAATTGAACTGTTAATTCTCTTGTTAGAGAACTCACATGCCATCACAGAATTAAGATGGTTTAGAGAAGAATTATGGTGTCAGGTCTCCTGGTCCAAAGTCAAAAAGCGCAAGAGTCACTGAAATCCATTCAGGTTTGGGTTCAGGACAGCAAAGCATAAAGCATGAGAATTAAAAGGAAGAACTGAGCATAGAGAGGTAGTTAGTCCTAGTAAACAGGAAATGAGAACAAACTCAAACTGCCTCTGCAGAAAGAAACTTGGTGAAAAGGCTTCAAAAGGGCATAACTTACCTATCATTGAACAATCTCAGCACAATTAGTTTTTATACACTTTCAATTCATTGTAGAGATTTCTAAAGTCTTAAGCACTGCCTTGTCGCACTAACTCATTAGCCCAGATTTATTTTAGGTGTAATTTTACTGAAACCCTACAGATATACAACACAGGGCAAATATGACCTCTTCCATTCTTTAAATATATGCTTTCAAGTCAGATTTCTCTTGACCCCTGATTAGGCATTATTTAACTTCTTTGCTCAGCACTTGTCAACTCAGTGGTACAAGGTGCTAGGAAAGGACTGCAGCAATGTCACGTGCAGTCATACCAATGCCATCTGGAAACAGAGTACTGCTGCCCTGCTCTGCAACCACTGTGCCTCTCTGAAGCAAATGATAACATGCAAGAGTGCACTGAAAGGAGATTCTGCCAGGGGAGAGGTAAAGAGAAGGTTCATAAAGAAAGAAAAGGATTTACAATAACCAACCCAAAGGAGGTGAGCAAAATGCATAGGTCACTGAATTATCTTCAGATGCTGCAGAGATGGTTCAAGAGCAAACTGTGAGCTTGCAGGTAAAAGACTAAGGAGTGACTAGAAATTCCCTCATGTACCGTCACAAGAGATGCTCCAAGACAACTGTGGAGGCGTCATAGAAATGTGCATGGTGTGTATCTGCACACAGGCCACAAGAAGCTGATGTGCAATGGCACTGCAAACCTCCTCCCTGAGAGGCAGAGCAGTTTAGCAACAACATGTTAGTTCATTTTCCAGCATAATCAACTAGCCGCTGGGGGTGGATCGGGAGGGGAAGATCTTGAATCTTCATATAATCTTCCCATTTCCACATATTTTCAAAAGGAAAACAGTAGTCAGAGCTACAGGAAAGGGGAAAATTGTAAGAAGGAAGTGGGCTGTGACTGTCTTTAGTCTGAATGAGGATATACAGCTGCAGCAGGAAGGGAGAAACTTCTTGCATCTGAGGAGACGGACACCAAAAAAAAAAAAAAAAAAACCCAAAATAGAAGTGTTAGAGGTACTATCTATTGCTAGGTAAGGTGCAAAGGAAACACAGAACTGTCATTCTCTGCAAAGAGAGCGATTGTAAAGTTTTCACTAAACTGCCAATGGCTGTACGTTTTTCCTGTCTTCTCAGTAATTCTTTGTAAGCTTTTCCACTGGTGCTCCTCTCTTCTCACCCTTCCCTCTATGACTTTATAGAAAATGTATTCGAATTCTGTTAGCTGGAAACACACGTAGCATGCCTGACAGGTGTTCCTTATAGCTTTGGAAGTCTTTCTAAAGCTAGACCTTTAATAAAACAGGTTTCCCAAATGTGCAAAGGTCCCTTCCTCTCAATCTCTCTTCATCCAGGGATCCCTTAACCAGTTATCTCTTTGCCTTATGCCTGCCCCCCAAAGCCAAAGACTCCAGCAAATGTACCCAGCAAGTCATATCCAATTCTGCACCATGTAAGTTGCACTGTGCAATAAAGATCTCTCTTTCCTGATATTATACACCACATGCTTAATTACCTAGTTATTCTCTGCTTTTCTTACATTTTGCAAAATAGATATCTAGTCCCTACACTGGAAGTCTAGGAGTAACATTTGAATGTAGATTAAGGACAACCTCTGCAATTGAGATTAATCCATTATGAAGACTGTTCCTGGAATCCTGACCCTTTCACAACAGTTGCAAGGAGATAAGCACCAATACACTGGTTACATCTCAGCACTTCCCTTCTACTATCTCAAGCAACCTAAGCTTCCACAGGAACTTTCTTCTTACAATATGCTTGAAAGATGGTCCTCACTGGCAGCCCGCCAATTAAAAGCATCCTAGAACAGAGCAGATGAACTGTGGAAGCCCAAAAATGAGCTGGTTCCACGGTGCTAGGCACTACATAAATCCATAAATAGCTCCTGGTGCAAAATTCTTCATTTTAAATAAGACAGAAAGTACACAGTAAGAAATAGAAGAGAGGATACTGAAGTAGAAATACAATGCGCTATATCACATCAAAACACAAGTGGGGGACTTAATAGCTACAAGACACTTGAGCATTTACAAAGTAATTAAAATTGCAGCTGTCCCAAGCATCTCACTTCCCAACCACATCAAACTGGCTGATCCCTGTTAGGCAATACAGCAAGCAAAGGTCTTAAGGAGAGACATGAAGAAGAGAGGTGTTATTTTATTTGGCAGCAATTCATGCATAAGAACCGTGCTAAACAGAAGGCCAAGACGGGATCCAGTGAGAGATGCAGATTGTGAGAAGCCTAAAATAGATACCTGAACTTGGTGATACAAGACTTTTCGTGGAGTGATGTTAATGCAGATCAAGCAGTTTGAACATACGATCGCTGTTTAGTTCCCCGAGCAAAACAAGTGATGTGGAGCAGTGAGGTGGTTACAGGGTGATGGATGTTGACCTCCTGAAAAGCAGCAACATTGCTGCCAGCTGCGCAACTGCCTCAGCAGGGAGGGAATAAGCTGTGGAGACCGAGCTCCTCACCAAGCCTTCGCACAGGAAGGTCAGGGCTTGCAATGCTGCTGCTCACATAGTGCTATTTTGTAGAAAATAGGCAGCTTCCAAGCTTGAAAATATGAAATTAATACCTTTCATCAACAGCAAATTCTCTTTATATTTCAAGCAGCTGAAGAAACAGTGCCTCAAAACAGTATATTATTTGCAAAACACAGGTAGGCCAGCATAGAAGTTTTCTTTCTCTAGCAGGACCATTTTTTTCTCCCCCAGTCTGCTGAGAGATGATAAAAAGGCAACTACACTGAAACTGCACATCAGCCTGGGAACATACAGTCCTAGAATTTCTCCTCACGCTGCCTGTGCGGGAAACCCTCCTGACAGCACAGGAGCCCTGAACTGCTCCACCTACAACAACAAAAAAAAGGCACTTCCAAACCACAGCTCTAACAGGCACAGAATATGGAGGGCTTTATTTCTCACAGAGATCTGGTTCTGATGATCAGGGCAGCATGTTCTCATCTAGGGGTGCAAGAAAAAAGGATGTTGTAACAACACTGACACTCTAAATTTTAGAATATCGACTCCTAATTGGATATTAACCATGCCCTAGACCGAGGTAAGACACCGATCAACCTAGTGCACCAGAAAAGCAAGGAGAACCCCAACTGCTCTAGGGACAGCTTCCCAAGGTGCCAGGCACCTCATCCAAAGAGGAGCACTAATGTATTTGGGTTTGCAGCTGCTGTGGCCCAGGCAGCCAACAGGCAAGCCACTGGCATATGAAGAAACAACAGCAGGTTTGTCACCACGAGGGGGACATCACTGCATGCCAGGTTTATGCCTGATCAATTGGCCACTGGCCAGTTCAGAGCTCTCCTTCCCGTGGCTTTCTGCCCATCTCTCTGCTACCAAAGCAAACTGTGCTTCAAGACTCACGTTGTCCCATGGTCTTACTTAAGACCAACCTAAGATACCCCGAGTTAGTCCTGAGGTGCTAATAAATGAAGAGCACAGGGCACAGCTCCTCTGACAAGCCAGGGCCTCTGGCTGCCAGTTCTGCCACTGCTTGGGTCTCCACAACTGGAGCTCCAAAATATGTGGCACCTGCCACTCCTTGACCTTCAGCTCTCCCACTTATAATAGTCCCCGATTTTTTTTTTTTTTAAATCAAGGAGCACTTACATGAAAGTCATAGTTCTTCATGACTCTTTGGATATCTTTCATTGCCATTTCTTTGTATCTACTCTTGCTTAAGAGCTGGAAAGTCAGTCATGTATCTGTTTTTTGTTGTTGTTTTAATAAAGAGCAGCAAACACAAGGACTGGTGGATGAAAACAAACAAACAAAAACACATCAACATGCATTCTGGGGCAGTGCTTTTAAAATTTAATTTCTCTTCTCCTTAATTTTGCATTTTCCCTGTAAGTAAACACCAAATGAGTGTGCCTTTGCAACCAGAGACAACATTCAATTAATGGGCTTCAAGTCTGGCTTCAACATTTTCATATAAGTCTTGCACAAACCATTAGAAATAAAGATTTACAGAACACCAGTGCTGGATTTGGCCCTAAGACATTTGTTCATTACTGT